CCTCGCTTGGCCCTTAAAAATTGTTTACTGATTCAATGTTGATCGTTGGAGTTTAAAGAGAGAAGCTTTTGTGACAGGCTTAGAGTTGTTGAAGACCTACGTGTAACAACTGAATGTAAACATAAGAAGTTATAAATTCAATTAAATTTTGTCTTAAATGCAGTAAGTCTGATAAAATCCTAAGGATAACAAGGTTTGGACTTGGATAACGTTACAACAGATGTGTCTAACACTTCTGCACATGAAGATGATAGTAATTATTAAAGTGCTCAATAAGCTATAAATGTTTCAAGATTTCAACATGTGCTACCAATGTTTCCCCTTTAGGAAAAAATTTTGCGACATTGGTCTATGAACATTAATTTCTTGTCAAAGCTTGCAGCAGACATAACAAATTTCATTTTATATTAGGTAGGCTGATCTCTTGTGTAGAATCTCGAATGGAGCGTGGATGACCAAGTCCTCCTTATTGTGATTGAATATATATGGCTCAGTAATTTATTTATTGGTCAATGTGCATTCTTCGATCTAGCCAAATTTTATGAAATTTAATGTGTTTTGACAAGAGCATTGTTTGGACGCAGTCAGGAATGTAATTCATATGCATTTTGTAAAATACAATTCTGAGAATGAGCTGTCTTAGATGAAATAATGCTTGTGTGATAAATCTTAGTTGAAAATTCGCAAATAAATGTTATAAATTTTATATTTTGGAATTTTAAGATTAGCATTGTAATAACTTGATATTTGAAGAAATTCAGGGCTCAGCCTTCACAAATGATTGGGCCACCTAGCTTAAAAAATGCTATTTATTTTTATGAAAGGCCATTTTTCATCGTTAAAAGTAAACTTAGGTATCTGGAAAATATTTTCATAACTTCAGGCTTCACGTTGTTGCCATAGTATGCTAACAACAGAACGCTTTATGTTCTTGATTGCTTTCCGCCCCATGCTTGGGTGTGACTCATTTTATGAAATCTGCTGATCTGATCACAGCATATCTGAGTCAGTCTTAGATGACATTCCGTCAGGTTGGGATATGACTCATGCTCAGATCTAAGTCAGTCTCTAATGTGACTCAGGCGTGGATAAGACTCAGAGTGGGACGTGACTGTGGCTCTCTTGTAATTCATGAAATGGGTTTGCTCATTTTGTTGGGGGAGGGGGGGGTAGAGGGGGGAATGTTTCTTGCTTGATCTGACTCAAGAGGTTTGCAGAGTTATTCAAACAAACAGATTTGAGTCAATACAAAAATTATGTCACTGCACATTTACTAATGTTAATTAACGAATATCTGTGCGTTACGAAGTAGAACAAATGGAAACAAGTGTTCGACCATAATTGTTGACTGAAACAAACAATTATCACTCCGTAATTTGTGCCAGCTTGTTTCAAGTTATTTAGTATATCTATTATTTAAAAAAAATTGAGAATTAGATGTAAACATTTTTGGAGGATTTTACACCTCAAAACAAGGACTTATCATGTAGTTAGGATAAAATTATGACAAAAACAGGACTTTGGGAGAAATTGGCATGGGATCACAGACATCAAGCCGGATTGATACTCTCGTTAAATCTCCCCCAGCTCCGCGAATGTCGTCAAGTTTCTTCAAAATTTCAGTTACATCTCTTGAGAATTTGTGTAAGGCCTAGTTCAAACGTCGATCTTTACATGTACCGAACCTAATTGCAATTTGGGTCGACTCGAATAATTAAGAGCGGCAGTTGATTCAAACGTCGATCCGAATTTAGTCGATCCTAATTGCAAAACTGAACATAACTCCATTGTAGTCAGCGGTTAATGCCTACCAAAATGGCGGAAAAAATGCGGGAAGCACAACTTGTGGAAATGAAGAGCTTGTTTTTCTTGCAAATGCGATTAAGGAGGGTAGAAAAAGGCGACTCAAGATGCAGTTAGCATTAAACAACCTTGCTGCCAGGAGAAGACGAGTTTTGAATTTGGCTTGCCTTCTATTATTGCTTATTTCCCAAAGGAACATCACAGTTCCTCGTCCAGTTCGTTCGTGTCGTCGACTGAAAAGAAATTCTGGCTGGTGGGAAAATGTTTGCAACAATTATCAATTTAAAACAAGGGGAGCACGAGCCTTCCTCCTTTCCCGCCATATTGTTTGAATGGTTCGAAGGCTTTCGCGCATGGCACGTAAGCCAACTTTCTTGAATTGTGGGTAAAACATAATTATTTTAACGTATGTATAATGTATGCATTAAGTTCGGTACATGTAAAGTACGACGTATGAATCAATGCCGATCTTTTACCGTTCTATCCGACTAGCCGAGTCGGATAGAACGGCACTGTCGATCCGAATACAAATCTGCCGATCCTAATTGATTCAAACGTCGATCTTTACATGTACTTAATAGAAACGTTAGGTTCGGTACATGTAAAGATCGACGTTTGAACTAGGCCTAAGACAAACTCTAAACTGCATGGAAAGATGCTGTTTACTTCTCTTCGTCACATGGGTTACTTCATATTTAACATTGTCCTATTCCTATAAAAAATGAGAACATGTCGTATTCTCTGCATTTTGGCGCAATCATAGCCGACTGTCTCTGTGGTAATCGCTTCTCTTTTGACCTGGGCAATTATTGTGGTCCTCAGAGGAATGCTTTCATTGAAAAGATTAAGTAAGGAGTGCGTTACAAAAGGGGTGAAGTTGTTCTTTAGAATTTCTGACGGGAAACGCACTTTAAGAATCTCGTGTTAAAAATTCAAGTTCAAAATTTAAAAATATCGGATTTGTCTCTAAGTTTAAGCATGGACACTCTTTTAGAAAACAACTCAGTAACTCGTTTTGAAGCTTCAGTTAGAATAACATTAACATTTTAAGATAATTATGCAACCCGGAAATGATTCGTTCCCGCCTCAGTGTTAAGTTACATGTAAACTCTTGCAAATACCTAGATTGTTTTCAGAAAATGTGTCCGTTTCTTCTCAAGCTGCGATTTGGCCTTGGTTGTCTCGTTGAAGCACCCAAAGGGTTGATGTCAACTGCAGTATTCAGTTATCCAAATATTAATGGAGTCAACTATTTTAATTCTTTCATTCTGGTCACCCAACAACATCTCTAATTATTGCAAATTCAACAAGTGTCACCAATGCTTCTATTGATACCCGTCGATTTTGCTGGTGACTTTCCGGTAGCCGTATATCAAATTTGCTGTGGTTGGGGATAGAATGAACGGGTTTTTTCGAGGGAAAATAACTACACATACGCATCCAACTCTCCAAAGTAGAAGCCTTGTTTCGTCTGTACAATTTCGAAGAAGAATTCGACACCTATATTTTACTGCTATTCTCGTCATGTAGTTCTGAGATGACTGTTATGTCCAATTGCGCATGAAAAAAGGCTCACTTCAAGTCCCATAAGTCAGTGAATGTCGAGTCTGTTGCATATATATTGCTTTCAATTAGTGATTATATTTGGTCACGCAAGGACTCGGCGGAGTTCCTGCGTGACTCGGCAGTGTTCGGCTTATAAAACGTCAAGGTCTTGTAAAACAGCACTTGCTCCCGCTTGCGTTACTGACGTAGGCTTGAGACCTAATGACACCAAAAAAAGTATAAACGTGAAAAAGAAAAGAAAAAAGTATAAAATGGGAGTCACTTTAAATGTAATAATTATCTGTTAGAAAGGAAATCTTTCCCCTTTACCGATTAAGAAACTCCCAAAAAAAGTATAAAAGAACTGAAAAACACACAAAAAAATAATAAAATCGCCGACGTTGTCGTCGTCGTTTCATTCTTTTCATGTGTTATGTTACTTGTGTTACTTGCCAAAATCTTCATGTTTTTTCTCAACGATATCTGCTTTACACTTCTTTCAATTCTAGTTCTGAAAACTTGTTGTTCAAACAACATTTCCAACTGACACCTTCCCTTACTCTCCCCACCTTTCTGCTTGAAATGTATTGCTGTTGTTAGAAGAAGCTTCTTTCTGGTCAGCACTGCGGTTGAAAGGATTAAATAAGACGAACAGCTTCTCATATGTAACTGAAGTGACTCGAGGCAAGGAGAAAATGCACTGAATACCAAAATATTGCAGTTTCTTTCATTTATCAAGCTGTGCGATTCAAAGTCTTCGGTTATTCGGATTTAACCCTTTCACTCCCATGCGTGACCAAGACAGAATTTCTCCTTACAATATCAATACAACATCAAACGGGCAAGTGATGAGAATATAAAAAAATATCACTTAGGGAATTATAAGTTGATCCAATATCAAATTCTCTAAACTAACATCACAAGAACTGTATGGCAGGCAGTAAGGAGAATTACTAATGAGATCATGGGGGTTAAAGGGTTAACCCTTTATGACCGAACATTAATATGCAAGCTCGGCGTACTGTTCTTTATACATTTTCTAAAGTCTTACATGGATAATTTGTCTAATAATAAAGACCTTCTTGAGTTCGCGATTATTTCTTTTATTCCCTTGACCTCAATGTTTGTTTCAGGGTTTATACTGTAGGGAGAAATCAGATGCTAATCACCCCTATGGGTTAAGGGTTTTGAAATCGAAGAGCGTTAAGCGCTCAGACGGAGATTGTCACGCGATCGACAAACTCTATGTCTGTTTTCTTCCCAGCACGTTCAGGCTTATAAATACAGGCTAAAAGAAAACCGAAAAAATCATTATTAATAGACATATTTAATAGATAACTATTGAAACAATTTTTTAATAGATTTTTTATACAATATTCGGTTGGCCTCTTCCTAGCCATCAGCACTACACAGAACTTCAAACTTACCATATGATTTGCATTTCACATCTTTTTAAAAGACCCAAATAATCTCTGTTGATAGTTTGCGGATCTCTTTAGATATATTCCATACGAAAACCATGAAATATTAATTGCTTTCTTACTGTTTAACGAGACTAGAATAATCTCTTTTGTTTTCCCGCAGCCTCCAAGGCTGTTTTCATTACATTTATAGTTCATGCTGATTTTTCTCCAAATGTTTTTTTTTTTTTTATGTACAAATTCGGTATCAACCGTGTATGTTGAATAAAAGAGGCAATAGAGCAAATTTAATTTTACTGAAACTGATGGCGGTAGCGCAATTGTAACGTCTTGACGATAATACCTGATTCCTTACCATCGAGCTTGCAATTCAGTTTTAAGCATTAACCGTCGTTGCGAAAATCTTTTTAAGTACTTCACCCGGTTAAATCTCGATAAGGTTTGATTGCGTAAATGCTAAAGCCTTTAATCTGAATAAACGGAGCTGAAGCTTTGAGAAGTTTGAAGATTTTCGCTGCTGGCTCCTCTCCCAAGGTGAAACTGTTCTAGTAGCCATTCCAGTCGAACTTTATCGTCGCTCAATTTTCTCTGGTATTGTCCTTTCAGAACCCTCCTAAGATCCTTTTTTTCGTTAGTGTACTTATTCTCCATTTCAAGTTTGTCTCGCTCGAATTTTAGCCGCAAAGTTTGTATTTCTAGCTCGTAACATTTCTCTAGCTGTTCCTTTTGATATTTCAAGACAGAAATGTCATGTTCGTAACCTTGAATTTCCGACTCGAATTTCAGCTTCTCTTGTTGTAAAATGCGCCGGAAATCCACGTCAAATTTACGCCTGATATCTTCTTTCTCTTTGCGAAAGTGTTCCTCCATGTCAGATTTTTCCCTCCTAAAGATGTTCATTAAGTCGTTTTTCTGCTGTTTGAATCGCTTTTCCATGTCAATGATTTCCGACGCGAACTGGTGCTCGACTTGTTTGTGTTTATTAGCGTAATGCGACTGCATCCTGTTCTTTTCTTGGGTCAATGATTTTAACAAGTCCTCTCTGTCCACGCTTAACTCGGCATCTAAGAGCGATTTGAAGTGCATGTCCACCTCAGGTTGCTCATGGTTGTACACTGTTTCCAAAAGCGCGTTTTCCTCCAAATAAATATTTTCCAGATCCCCTAAGCCTTGACACAAAGTTCGCTTTAATTCCTTTTCTACGTCCTCGATTCGTTCGAGTTCTTTGCGTATTGTCGCATCCATTTCTATCTTTTCTGCTCTAAAGCCCTCTTCTTTTTCCTTCAAATTTTTTTCAAAACTTTTCCTTAATTCCTTTTTCTCCCTCTCAAAATTTTCCAAAAGGTTTTCCTTTTCGCGATCCCACGAATTCATCAACACAGATTTCTCGTCGTCAAACGACAGTTTCAAAACGTGTTTCGCCTCTTGGAATTCCAAGCGAATATTATCCTTTTCTTTCAAGAACGCCTGTCTCATTTCTTCTTTCTCGCATTCAAAAGCCTTTTTCATGTTCTCCTTTTCAGCTTCAAACGCAAATCGCATTTCATTTTTCTCATCTTCATGGGCGCACTCAACCAGTTCTCGGTCTTGAAGAAATCTGCGAACGATTTCCGCTTTCTCCTCCAGAAACTGTCGCTCTTCGTCCGAGACGTCGAAGAGGTGTCCTTCAGAGTTCTTCGACGAGGACCTTTCCATAGCTTACCATTTGATTTATAAGCTCGAATTTTACAATCTTATTTAAAATCAAAGCGCATTTCACGGCGGTAGAACTCAAGCCGCGCCAGTGATCCTTGATCAAGACATTTTATAGTCGATCGATAATCCGGAAACCCTGCGTGCGCACTATTATAACCACGACTTTCCATCAATAGCTTGTCACTTTTTTAACGTCAAGGCTCTTCTGGTTTTTCAACAGCCAAGAATAACACACAACGGATCCGTTTTTCTTAACGCTCAGCCGACTTAAAAAAATCAGTGATCTGTGAACGACGTCGATAAACACAGTGTAGCTAACTTTCGATTATTTTAGACAAACACTTTTACTTTCAGCCAAATCTGCATATAAATCGATTTTGATGCTATCTAGGACTGAACCAATTGTCGGGTTTTGACAGTGGAATAATTGCTAAAAACACCACCTGGCGAGGCTCAGTCGAAGCTAATTGATTCTACGTTGGTCGACACACACTTTTAGCAAAGTTGAAAAGCGGTAGTCATTCGTGAGAAACTTCATAAAAAATTTCCTTTGGCGAATTAGGGCCAAGAAATAAACAGCTTTGTCTATGCGTAAAAGTTCTCTTTAAAGGCAGAATTAATGTGATACAAACAACCTCTTTACTTAAAGTTGACCTCCACCAATGATAATTCAAGACAGTAAATTTCATGGTCTATTTATTTTGTGAGAAACGCTTTACAAATTTAAGCCCGATTTCAAGCACTTTACTGTTTGAAAATGAGAAATTAATTCACATACCCTGAGGGAGACAGGTACCCGAAAGTTCATTACTTCTCGTCCTGTCACCGTCTAGCTTGGAACTGAGACGTTTGTTTTGAAAACATTTTATTGACAAGCAATCCGTGTTTTAGCCGGTTGAATGATTTAGAAGATACATACACCCACTCGACTTCAGTTGCGTCACCAACTGTACCAAAACATTTTAGCTTGCTGTACTTCTGTGGTTGAATTTAATTTTGTAGTAGAATTTCGTGGTTACTCATTCTAAAAAAGAAGTTTTTATGACGTTGTTAGCCCTGTTTTGTCATGACTCGGCCATAAGCACACCACTCGTGAGGCAAGATAGATTGAAGTTTAACCTCCAGGCAGATTTGAGAACTCAAGCTTTGAAATCGGCTCGCATTGAGGGCGTTATACGGGGCAGTCGATAACAGTCTTTATAACTACAGAGTTCTCCGTGTCATTAGGAAGACTATACATAATAATGTCTATCAAAAAAAAATATTGTGCGTGTTTGGAAATTTGAAACAGTCAATTCCGTAGGTGCGGTTTAGGATTTCAAAGCAATAAATTATCGATTATCTGGGGACTACCGAAAAATATTGGACAACAGAAATAGAAGAGGTCGTCAATCGTCGGAAGAGAACATGAAATGACACTGTTCAGAACTGAACTGAAAGTCAACATTTTAATCCCTCAGATAATTGCGATTGGCTGGAAACCAATCTATTTTTTCACTGTCCACCGCATTGCTTCAGTTGAAAGCCTTATATGGCCAGTATTGGAACTATCCTGGTACAGTTTAAACTTAAAAAACCAGACGAAAACCGTCACAGATGACTCCTTTCCTTGAAAAGGAAACAGATTCGATACTCACCCATCAATGAAAATGAAAAAAACAAATATATTTTTGGCTCTCCTTTTCTGATATTCGGCCATAACCTCATGATCAGTTAATTTTATACAGGATGTTCCCTCCCCTTCCCTCAACGAATAAAACCTTATTGTCAAGTGGTTGTTAATCGTCCAATGCAACAGCAAATCAGAAACATATGTAAAAGTTGATTGTGCTTCTGATCCACGAAGAGATTCCGCAACTTTCTGCAGTTCGCGTAGTCTTCCACGCGATACGTGGAGAAGAGCTGGGAACAAGCTGAGAACAAAGAGGTCGAATTCAACATGGCGGCGGATGTGGTTGGGTGTGATGGAAAATCACAGCGAAGCTTTAGTATAAAACCCCGAACAGGAAGGGAAATTGACATTTCTTTCATTTTAAACATATTTTATGGCATTTGGTGACATTTGGACTTAAAACAGATGGAAATGGTGGCCCCAAAACAGAGAAATGAAGGCCATATTTCTCTTCATGTCAGAAAGCTGCAAAAAGAGGTACATGCGCGTGGAGAAATCCTGTTATAAGCGGGTCATTTTGTTATGTTTCTTCAGCCTGATCTTTTATTTTGCCGACTGTGCCAGTTCTTAAGTTCGTATGCTAGTAAACTAAGTTAATGATTAATCTGATAACTTAGGTACTTGCTGATTATGCTCATGCTACTGTTGAAAAGTTTTGCTCGGCTGGAAATTCGAAATTTGGTGTGTGTGTACGTGTTTTTAAACAGGAGCCTCTTTTTATTTACCACCACGATACAGACATATTCCCTTGCCGGTATATATACATTTTATGGAAATGTATATACATCTGTCTCAATATATGCTGATTTATGATGCAAAAGTAATTAAAAACTGATTTAAGCATCAGTTTGTGGTCTTCAAACCACAGTGCATAAAGCATGTGCAAACTTGTGAAAAGTACAAAATAAGCACTCAGGGTCCACCTAAGGGTGAGTCCAGCATTTGGGTTACTTTCTAAACTTCTTAAGCACTTCAATTAAGCAATACAATCAACTCTCTCACAAGCCAGCACCCTCAGCTATTGGAAGAAGTGTTTATTGGTAGAGCTGTCTGCCTAGGAGAATTATTCCCATAAGCAGACACCAAAGGAAAATAGGTTATGTTATGTAAAAGAGAAATGAGGAAAGTAGACCATAACGAACATGGCCATGATGTGACACTACAAATGTTATGTCTGACTCAGGTTTTTCTGTGGACAAATTGAGATTTGACAAAACTGATCCCGACTGTTCTGTTGCTTTGTAAAAGGTCATATTTTCATTGATTTGCAAGATGAAGACAAATTTCATTGCCAAGAGTCAATTATTATGCATGGGGTGGCCACTTGCAGGAGTAGGAGAAGAGTGTAAACAAAAGAAAAATCTAATATTCACTGGTATCACATAGTATTGTGCTTTCTCAGAAATTGTTTTCATTGCTGCTTCTTAAATTAGAGCTTCACAGAGTCCCCATCTAAGTCAACAGCAAGTGCTAATGAACCCCTTAAGAAAAACTTTAAGATACAAACTCCAAATTCTTGTATCATAAACTTACAGTACGCAGTTACTGTGTGGTGTTTGTTCCCTTGTTAATGAGGTTCAGTTCTAGAAAAATTTAACCAATTCCTCTTAGTAAAAGGGTGACTGTGATTTTTATTACAAGCAGATTGAGAAATCTTGTTTAGCTTTTTCATTTTAACATGCTACAAAATTTACACTGTACATCTCAGGATGCAACCTTTCAATTCACCTGCCGTTGTACAATATTATGAATCAAATGATGCTTACTTTGTATAATGTTCTTGAGGATTTTGATGAATGCACAATTGATCTGTGAACAAATTGTGTCATGATATTCTCAATAGGGTAGTTTAAATGGTTCATAAAGAGAGGAATTCCTTCTGCCATGGTTCAGTGTGTTCATACTCATCATCAATGGGACCATGAGTATGGGATGCTTACTTGCATTCAGGAATTGGTTAACATGAATCTAACTTTGTTATGAAAACTGTTATATGATAAGCTGAATTATGCACAATGTCGATTGGCTCTTATTAATGATCTTATGATCTGTTGGAGTACAGATCGATACCTCAATGAATCACTATTAACAACATTTTGCTTTTTTATTATATGAAGCAAATAGAATCCCTGTTGCTGAGGGTCTGTACTGTAATAAGCAATGTGTGTCTTTTTTTTGTCCTTACCACATTTTGATGTCATCTGTGATCTCTTACTGAACAGAAGCATGAAAACATGGAATCTATTACTTTTGATCAGAAAATCTTTATCCTATGTTAACACTTGTCATAATTTCTATTCCTACCCCCTACCCAAATCATATAGGGAAGGTCTGCATTGCAGACTGATTGTAGGAGACCCTTATCAATCGGGAGAATCAGTTGTTAGTTATGCCCCAGTCAATTTGATTATTCAACCAGCAACCCATGTGCATTTGACCGTGTCTTTGCTGAGGGGGTGGGTAACTTTAACCTTGCATGGGTGAGGTGGGGCATTTGATGTGGAAGTGTCAAGTCTTACAAGTGTCATACACGTGTTTTAAATAAATGGAGGAGTTTGATGGTAAAGGGTCTGCTTTTGTGAGTTAATGGCTTAGAAATACAATTTTCACATTATAGAATGATGCTCACAAGCAAATACCCAACAGAGGGTTTTATTTTACTGTTTTGAAATTTTTGATCAGTCAAAGTTCAAAATATGATCATGATATTTTTATTTGTTTTCAGAAGAATCTTTTACACTGAAGAAGTAGAAACAAGACAAAAGTAGAACTGTTTTCTTACCAGAATTGTGAAAAAGAGGAATGTTCATGCTGTATCACAATAAGAAAAGGTACTCAAAGTTATTTAGAACAGTAGAGGTTGGTGTGTTAGTGAGTTTTCTTGACACTTGAAAGGACATTTTGAGAATTCCCCCCCTCCTTAGTGAATCATTCATGTTTTGCAACAAGTCATGAAAGATCAGTGAAAGATCAGAAAAAAAAAAACAAAAAAGTTTGGATCGTTTGGTAAAACCACTTAAAATACACCAACCTCTGATGCCCTAATAGGATAAATTGATGTACAGTACTATTGGTCTAATAAAATGACAAAATAAAATGAAAGCACTGTTACCTTCCACTTAAATGTCTTTTCCCTTGACAGCATGACAATCCTTAGGATCCAACTGCCTCTAACATCAAGATGAGCCGTCCAAAAGTTTCTGGTCAATGTATTTCAAAGGGGATCAACTTCTCATTGGCATATATTCTTCAATCCAACAGGGACATGATAGGCTTGCTATTAAACACCCATCTCTTGTACACAGTTCAAGATCCTTTCAGCACAGTAAGACAATCCTGTTTCCAAAACAACTTTCACACTCTTCTCTTTATTTTTGGTGGACCAAGTCTTAGCATCACAGGTCAAGACTGAGGAAGAGACTTTGTGGATGATGCTAACACCATTGTGGATCAGCAATTAGTCACCCATCTCTTGTGCACAGTTCAAGATCCATTCAGCACAGTAAGACAGTCCAGTTTCCAAAAAAGCTTTCACACACTTCCCTTTGTTTTTTTGGTAGACCAAGTCTTAGTATCACAGATCAAGACTGAGAAAGAGACTTTATGGGTGACGCCAACTCCATTGCA